GGGTCCAGTGAGAGCAGCACATGCAAGCATTGCGTTGGGCCTGCTGACTACTCTTCTCTTGGAGAGACATGTGGCCAGAAGGGAGCCAGAGCAGGGTCCCTGGAAACACAGGTCCAAAGCAAGGCCCTCTTCAGCAGGTTTAAGTTAGCCCCAAGCTGGGAAAAGGCAGTGGTCCTCGAGAGAGAAAGGGGCACAGCAAAAGAAAAATTAAGGTTTGGACCAATTTAAAAATTAAGTGGCTAAGGTCTAGTCCCTGTTCTAGCTCTAGATATCTGAATGACCTGAACCTTGCTGGGGCTCAGTTTCCCCTTCTATAAAAGAAAGTGAGTAGAAGGCAAATTAGATGGTCTCTGCTAAGATGCAATTCAAGTCAAAGCTCCCCCGGCTCCACACATCAGGGCGGGAGGAGAGGACCTGCAGCTCACAGCCCTACAGATGCAATAGAGCAAAATACGGAACAAGAGGAGCCAAATGAACTGCCAGCACTCAAAACTGCTGGGCTGGGCAGTGTGTGTGTGTCACCTGCACAGGATTTCTCTGGAATGGGACAAGGGCAGGCCTGTCCAGAGAGCCTGCAGCTTAGAGGGGTGAATGATGAGCACAGAAGAGCCAGCACGATCTTCTAGCAGCCACACACACAACACACACACACACACACACACACACACACACACACACACACGGACCTCGCCCAGACTTTGTAAGTGAAAATGTATTTCCTGATCGAGCGCAGGAAGACAGGCCCCCTGGGAAACTCTCTCTCATCTCACACATTTCTTGATGGCACGCAATTAGTGGATCACCTTAGCAGAGCAAGAGCGAAGGTGCTTTCACACTGCTTGGCTCTGCCCCGAGAGGCTCCCGGGTGAGCCTACAGAAGTGTTAGCAGCATTCTCTCCCATCCTCATCCTCTTGTAGCTTCCTGAGCTCAGATAAAAGGGTCTCTATACCTAGAAACCAACAATAGGCTCTGCTACGTGGCTGCTGCTAAGTCTAGTGTAAACCAAAAGAGTCAGGATTGACTCATAATCTGAGAGCTCATTTTCATCTAGAGAGATGGAAAACTCCCCCGAGGGGCGGGGGGAGTAAAAATAGTCTTCCTTTAATTTGGCCAATGAGGATATATCCACTCACTTTTCCCACCCTGTCATGTCATAGGACACAATGGCTTCCAAAGGGCTCCCACCCCACTCTAGTGACACAGGATCCTGTTCATGTACAGCTGTCCTATGTCTGTCCAGCCTCCTCCAAAGGATAATAAATGCTTATTTTTATTTGCATTTATTCTATGCAGAATTTACTCCCAGGCCATAAGTTTTTGTTTCTTCAGTTTCTCTAAGAAGCATGGCCAGGAACACAAACAGAGGTGTGTGTTCACCAGGCCTAGTCTGTATTTAGTTCAAACACTGTGTCACTTATGCAATGTTATGTGACCCAAGGGATCAAAAGTTTCCCCTTGTGACATGGCCAAACCACCAACACCTTATGACAGGTGCAGGGTGGGAGATTACCAAGTTTACATTAGAGTCACTGCAGTTGGTGCCTTGTCCTCTGAGCAAGGTGAGGCCCTTGAGACGGGGTAGGCGCTGGAGGGAATGCAGACCCCCCTTCCCCGCCTCAATGAGAACAGCACTGCTTTTATTTCTTGATCTCTCAGGCTAAAACATATTAAAAATTGCTTAGAAATTATGACCCCACGAGTCCCCTGATAAGATCATCTGTGGGAAGACTAAGATCAGTCAAGTATCAGCCATCAGCACCACGAAAGAAGGGCTGTCTGCCAGGAGAGGTAAGTTTTGAAGAGGGAACACACACACAGGGTGGGCAAGGGGCAGCAAGGCACCAATATCATGAGGTAGGTTGTTTCTTCAGTGGAGGTTTCACTAGGCTAGATGCTGGAAAAAACTTCCACACGGTCCATGAAGAAGAAAAGAGGAAAATCATCATTGACTCTCTCAGGGAAGAACATGAGATATGCTGACCCCAAGCTCAAATATGCCATATGTTCCCATAACTCATATCCTATAATAACAAATAGTGGGTTGAAATCACCATGGCCATTATTTATAAAGATGAAAATAACTGGCAAAACACAGATTGTTGTTACACAGAATCAGATGTACCTTATGTCAGTGTTCCTCACATGATAGCTCTTCCTTAGAATCTGATAGAAATAAAGATTCTGTAGAAATACACAGGTACAGGAGTGGGCTGAGGTAACCTCCGAAAATGGTTCTCTACTGCTGGACCCAGAAAACCCTACAAAATCATACAAGTCAAGAGGTTCAAATCTTCGTGTTCACTTTAAGAACACACGTCAAACAGCCCAGGCCATCAAGGGTATGCATATCCGAAAAGCCACCACGCATCAGAAAGATGTCACTTTGCAGAAGCAGTGTGTGCCATTCCGTCGCTACAATGGTGGAGTTGGTAGGTGCACAGGCCAAACAGTGGGGCTGGACACAGGTCAGTGGCCCAAGAAGAGTGCTGGATTTTTACCGCACATGCTTAAAAATGCAGAGAGTAATGCTGAACTTAAGGGTTTAGATATAGATTCTCTGGTCATTGAGCACATCCAGGTGAGCAAAGCCCGCAAGATGCGATGTAGAACTTACAGGGCTCATGGCCGGATTAACCCATACATGAGCCACATCGAGATGATTCTTACTGAAAAAGAGCAGATTGTTCCTAAACCAGAAGAGGAGGTTGCACAGAAGAAAATGATATCCCAGAAGAAACTGAAGAAACAAAAACTTATGGCCCGGGAGTAAATTCTGCATAGAATAAATGCAAATAAAAATAAAAACAACAACAAAAAGAAATACACAGATACGGAAATATGTCCAGGGTATTCTGTTAAGCAGAGAAAGTTCCTAACAAAAGAAGATGCATATATGCACAAATACATATGTATAAAATATTACAAAGTATAAACATTTCTGAGTGAAAAGATTGCAATTTTTTTCTTTTTTAACTGTAGTTTCTGATTTTTTTTTCTGCAATGAAAAATATATTACATATGTGGGGTTCTTTTAAGTTAAAAAGTATAGGGGTTCCTGGGTGGCTCATTTGGTTAAGCGCCTGCCTTGGGCTCGGGTCATGACCCCAGGGTCCTGGGATCCAGCCCCATGTATGGCTCCCTGCTCCACAGGAGTTGATTCCCCCCGCCCTCCCTCTGCTTCTACCCCCTCTCTGCTTGTCCTCACTCTCTGTCTCTTAAATAAATCAATAAAATCTTAAAAAAAAAAAAAAAGATACAGCACAGCCTAGAGAGGGGAGGAGAGGCCTTTCTCAAGATGGGGGCAGCAGAACCCTTCTAATGCCAAGCACCCTGCTCCCCAGCACAGCCTGAACTGTACCTCTGCTGCCCCCGTGCGGTTTGGGGAAGACCTGGCACCCAGAGCCTAAGGAGGAAACCTGAACCAGACTCCAAGGTTATCTTGGACAAATTCTTCTCTCCCCTTTCACCACTTCATGGTGCGCATTTGTCCCACTCATGAACATGGGGCATGGGGGCTTCTGCAGCAGCACGTGCCAAGGTGTGCATTCAGGATGCTAACAAGATGGATACAGACTCTGGCAGGGGTTCAGGACCCAGAGATCCACTATGGCAGGAGAGAAGGTGGAGGTAAGACGGGGCCCAGCCTCCGGAGTCGAATATCCACAGGCAACCATGAAACCAGAATCCTAGGGCAGTACTGGAAACTGTCTCCTTTGCCGCAGAGGCTTGAGGTGCGAGCACACGGAGCTGGTAGTTTCACTTATTTCTGCCACCTGTCTGTGGAGCACCTCAGGTGACCGCCCTCGGCCTGCTATTTGAGCATAGACATTCCCAGAAATGCAGAGGGAAGCCCAGTGGGCTTGTCCAGTGTTCCCAACGACGGTAGTTTTAACTTATGAGTAGGAAAGCCTGTTGCCTGGGAATCAAACCGTGAAGATGGGAGCCAAATTGTTATTATCAAATGACAGGATAATAATAATATTATTATTATTATTATTATTATTAATAATATTATTATTAACCTTAATAACTGCAAAATCATTATTAAGCATTAACGCTAAGCCTTAAATGAACAAGTAATATTTTTCTTATCTAAAAATCTATTCTTCTCTACTTGAATTGTCAGCTCTATAACAACTAAGGGCGACAGGATCCCTTGACTAATGAACATTTTAATTTTTACAGTATAAGTAGGCACTGTGTACACACACACACACACACACACATTCTGGATTAAATTCCCCACCCTTTAACCCTGTATCTTAACTCCTTTTTCCTAACTCTATGCCTCAACCTCTCTTGCATGTGATGCAGGATAACGTTCATTATGCTTCTCCTGTTCTAAGGCTGCAGAACCAGATGGCCTGCATGACCTTGGGCAAACCACCTACCATTCTGAGTCTCAGTGATCTCCTCTATAGAATGAGGATATTAATAGGACCTCTTCCTAGGGCTGTTGGAAGGTTAAATGAGTTAATATCTGTGATGTGCTGAAAACAGTACCTGGCAAGAAAGTGCTAGAAGAGCCCATTAACTCACTCTGTCCCATAGTTATTTTTAAAAGTAGCCTTGAAATGTAATTAATTAATTTTTATAAAGAGTAATTTAAAAAACAAACCTGGTTTCTTCTTTTCTTCTCACTAATAGCCACCATTTGTTACCAAAGTTGGGTGACGATGAAGTGGCCAGCCCCTCCCTGCCCACCTCTAAAGTTGAGTGTCATTTTCAGGAGAATCAAACTTATCAGCCTTATTCTCCAAGCTTTCTCCCATCTATTTGAGGAAAAGTAAAGAGAACACACATGCGTGTGTGAGTGTGTGTACAAGGGCATGTGTGTGGATAAGGTAAGTGGATCACAGTTGCCCAGAGCCCCTGGGCACAACTATACTTTCAGTGTGATCTCTTCCACTTCCCTCCCGCTCTGGTCCTGGACCTGCCCCTTCTTGTCCCCACCTTCCATCAGGCAGTTTGAGCAGCATCTCATTCTAGCGACACTCACCTGTTGGTGTTCTCCAGAACCTCTACTTTCTTCCGAAGCTCCAAGTTCTCCGTTGAACAAGACTCCACCCTATAGGGGAGTGAGAAAGAAGAAAATTAGTTGTATTTTGAGCAAATGCCAAGCTGGGAGCTAGAGTGGAGGAAGATGGGGCTCACAGAAGGAGGACTGGGCATCAGCTACTCTAGAGAGGTGAGAGAGAGAGCCTAGCCAGCCTAGGTCAGGAAGAAGGGTAAAAAGACAAAAGAAAAAAAAAAAAAAAGAGATGAGTAACACATGCCTCAGGTACAGAAAATGAATAGGGATGGGACACAATGTAAAGTCCTCCTAGAGTGTTCCAAACTTGATTCCTCTCACCTTACCCTATTGCTCTCAATGCCCATCATTCACCTCCCTCATACTATAGGAGCCTGGATGCTGCCAGTTGGATTCACGCCCAGAAAGACTAACAGGAGACTTGCTTGGGGCAAGAGGGGAAGACAAAAACCCAGCCCCTTAAGACAAGGAATCCAGCTGCAGGAGCGTGCATGCCCGGAAGAGGCAAGAGAGACCATCTTGACCCTGGAAGCCTACAGCAAATAATGGAACAGAGTGGGACCACTTAATGGAAAATTATCAGTATCAAAACTAGGATGCAGAGACACCAATTTTCAATAGCAAAGTCAAGAGCCAGCCAGAATGTTCCAGGATGTTCTGTTCTTCTCTGCAGACCCACAGGAAGATTCATTTCTGGACTCCATTTCCATCTTAAGTGATACTCCTTTGTCAGCTGGAGAACTATATTCTAAGGCCAATATGGAAATTGTATTTCAATCATGTTTTTTTAACAGCCCTCCTGAGATTTTGGGCTATTCAGAAGAACAAAAGGTGCCTTCCAGTGTTTTTGTGGGAAGTCACTAGCCAGTGGCATGAATTATAGTGGCTAGAAAGTAAGTAATGCCAGCCCGACTTTCTGCACTGCCTACGTGCTTTCTCTAGGATGTGAGGGATGTGGCCAAAGGGACTGATTAATCAGCCCCGGTCCTTTCAGCCTAAACAGTGCCTCTCCTCTGAGGAGAGCTCCAGGAATGTGAACGAATGTTAATATTTGCACTTGTTTGAAAGGAGACCTTCAAGGACTTGCTTCCGTTAGAAACGGTGTGGTCCAAATGCCTAAGATTGAGTGTACTTTTTACTTCTGGCCCTATTTATAAAGCTTCCCCCCCCCGCCACCCCCAAAAGCCACTAGGTGGCAGGCAGCACACAGCTGATGAACCAACGGGCTCTGATGGTGGCCAGAATGAACTTCACTGGCTTCTCGGGAAAGCAGATGCTTTGCGCACACCCATTTCCCTATGTCTATCACCCAATAAACACACCCAGTTTCGCAGGAGGCTTACTTTTTCTCCAAGCTGTCCATGTATTCTTTCTTCTTTCTTCTACTCTCCTGGGCAGAAATCTGAGATATAAGGGGAGAAAGAGAGATTAACCTCCTGCTCTGTCAGTATGTCAGTTACGAGTAAATGGAAGAGAGGAGTCTGTTGGCGCAGAAATCACCAGAGCTCCCTCTCATTTTTGTGGCCCCTCTCCATTTACTTAACCTGCTGGCTCATCTGTGAGTCACTTCTTCTGACCTCCCTGGTTTCAACCAGTCTGTGTTGTCACCAGGTCCCATCAAACTGGGTCCCGTGTGGGAAGCATGGCAGGCCTGAGTCAGAACAGAACACGTGGTTCACAAGCCATCTATATGGTCTTAGAAAAATGATTTCAACTCCATGGGGCTCAGTTGGCTCAACTTAACATATAAACGAAGATAGTTGGGCTCGGTCATACATAACCCTCTACTGCTTCTGTACATAGGCCAAGAGTCATAACTGAACTCTTTTTCTTCCTTTCCCTGCCACCTCCCTTCTGGTCTGCCTGTGCCCGAGCCATGCCCTGGGGCCTCACCAGCTCTGCTCTGCACTGTAGGGGCCTAGGGCTAAAGAGACTCCTCAATCCAGGCATAGAACAGTAGACAATAGAATTTTTTTTTTTTAATAAAAAAACCCAGTGAAAAGTTAAACAAGCACCCATACTGCATTTATATTTATTTATAAATTATATACACACCACTAGAAGTAAATAAGGTATATATTATAAAACAGAAACTAAAAAGGCTAAGATTAAAAAAAAAATTAATGGGAGTTCTGATGTTTTCCTCTCAGCCTCAAATGGATCCCCTCAGGCACCAAGGAGTATGCACACCCAGTGTGGGATCCACTGACCCAGAGGATGGGTAAAGGGACCAGAGAAACACAGCGATCAGTGTTCCAGTTCCCTGCTGGGGAGCTCTCCATGGCTCCATGGGACGGGCCAGTGTTGGCCACAGGGAAGGGGGCAGTGGGAGCACACAGCCTGGTCATGGTCTCTGTCCTAGAAGCACCTAGATTTGAAGGAGTCACCTTGTTCTTGATTTTCCTCCGAATTTTCTTCAGAGCCTTCTCCTCTGATTTTGTTAGAGGCAACTTGGTGGGGATGGGATAGCCCTCGGCGATCAGGGTCCTCTTCTCCTCTTCGGTCAGAACCAGTGGGCCTGATCCTTGCAGTTTCTGTGCCAAACAAGGAGCAGTAAAGGGTCAAAGTGGGGCAACTGGGCACACTGAAGAAACTTGCAAACATCTGAGAGAAAATGATGCTCATCTGCTTTGGGTGAGAAACGAGTAGTTGGAAATGGAAGCAAAGATGGAGAACACTCATGTGTTCTCATGTGTTACACCCAAGGATTATCACTCAAGGGAAAGGGTAAAGAAACCTCCACCCCTCAGTTCTCGGAAAGTACACCACTGGCTAACACATCAAAGGTAAAATTACAGGAGTCATTTCCCACATCTCCCAAGATTGCATGGCCTTGGAGTGATGGCGGATTCACTTGGAGCTCTGTTTGTGAAAGAGTTTCCTTGTTCTCCTGAAAACACAACTTTGCAAGATGCTCGCCTCACACCAAGGGTCACTTCTTTCCCCCACTGACAGCTCAGGGGCCAGGGTTCCCAGAAATACACCTGCAGGTACATCCCATGGAGGTCTCTGGCTTGAGGGCAGTCCCGGATTGTTCATCATCAGTGAAGATGAGAACTGTAGCTCCTCCCATTCATCCCATAAAAAAATGATGTGTTTATGTAGTCAAACAAGCTGAGCGCCAACTGTGTATGAGGCCCATGTTAAATGTCCTGAAACACTCAATACAAACTGCCTCTCTCAAGCTATAGCTTGTGATCAAGACTAAGACTGAATTAACACCTTAAAAGCTGAGGGCAATTACGTGCTACGCTGTAATATCAACTCAAGGTGCACTCAAAATCCAGGGAAAGAGACACACGAGTGTGTGTGACAAGCAAAGGCTTAGGGTAGGAGAGGAGAATTGCACTGGGCCTTTTGAAAAGACGGGGATGACTTACATAGAGGAGGGCATTCCACGCAAAAGGCAGTATTCTGAAAAGCACTTAAAGATGCTACTCTGCCTAGAATGTATAAGAAGTTCTTGAAACCGTGAAGAGTCAGGGCACCTAATACAGAGTAGAAGCATTAGGGCTTGATACTAAGAGCCAACTGAGAAACACAACACGCTGTGGAAGTGTGATATTGGGAGGATTTCCTCCATAAATATGTAGACTGGACTGATTGTAGGAGGACGCACAGATAATAAGGATGAAAGCTATTCTAGTTACCAAAGGGGTAAGGAGTTGAGTTAGAGTTAATCCCCTTGTCCTTGGTAATGGTGAAAGAAACAAACATGGTCACAGATCGAGAACTTTGTGAGACTCACTGAATTTAAATTGCCAAAAATATATTAATTGAGAGATGGTTCTTACGGAACTCTCAAACATCTCACCTCATTCAAATTTTCTCTATGTGATATAAATTCAATAAGATTGATTATAATTTTATCATTTTTCAGATTTCACAGAAATCAACGAACACCTCAGAACAGTAAAATGTTAATTATCTGTCCCTATTTTTATCTGGGAATAGGTGCCCTTATATACGTGAGGGATGAATGATGACTCATGCTTTCTAACCTGAGTCTCTAGATTAGGAGTTGGACCACAGACAAAAAAAGTTTAAACTATATTGTTGAGCTTTTGACCTCAAAACATTTAATCTCAAAGTTTAAAGATCATCAAATATTGTTTATTTGAAAAATAAGTTATTTCCTGTTGTAAGCCATAGGACCATCCAAACTGCTGGTAATATTTGTGACATGATTTTGAGGAGGAAGGGAACACAACATTTTCACTATTTGTGCTTCTGGTGATGTCAGAGAAACATAGGAGTAATAACTGGAGGAGGAAAAGGAGGAGAATTGTGTTAGCATGGTAAGATTATAGGCAAGTCTTAAAAAATGTTCTTTAAGGAGAGCCTGGGTGGCTCAAGGGTTAAGTGTCTGCCTTTGGCTCAGGTCATGATCCTGGGGTCCTGGGATGGAGTCCCGCATTAGGCTCCCCGCAGAGAGCCTGCTTCTCCCTCTGCCTATGCCTCTGCCTCTCTCTCTCTCTCTCTCTCTCTCTGTGTCTCTCACGAATAAATAAATAAAAATTTTTTAAAAAGAAAAAAAAAGTTCTTTAAGATGGTTATCACTGGTTTTAGCAATTAAGCCTACAATTGTCTTCCAAGAACAGAAGTCCAGCAGCCTTGAAGAGCACCTATTCCTAGTGAAGCTCCAAGTGACCAGAGGGAAAGGACTGGTGTCCGGAGCTGCAGATGGGGTTCTAGAATACTCACGTGAGGCGCTGTGAGGAGAGGAGAGTTGGACAGGGCAGAGGGGGCCCGTGCCACAGCTCTGGCCGGGCTGTGGGTCTGAGGCAGGCTGAAGGGGTGCAGGCGGGGGTTGGGGCTCAGGCTGCCCTCTGAGTCACTGCTGTGGCTGCTGGGAGGGGTGGGAGGTAAGTGCAGGTGTTCCACCGAGGCTGAGGGAAAGAAAGCGGATGGCATCCATCAGACAGCAACGAAGCAGAACTTGGGGGTGACTCAACAACTGTACATCCACACAGCCCAACTCGGGTCAGCTGAACAAAGAAAGGGATGAGGTTTCTGCGTGTGCAGATATGGAAAGATCTCCAACATTTATTACTCAGGGCGGAGGAGGGGGAGCATCCAAGTGCAGACCAGCGTATAAAGTAGCCTTCCTTTGGTATGAAAAAGGAGAGGAAAAAAAAAAAAAAAGAAAAAAAGAAAAAGGAGAGGAGGAGAATACAGACTCATATTTGATTGTCTCTGCATAAAGAAACACTGGGAAATATATAAGATACTGATAAAATCATGACCTCATGGGAGTTGGTGGGGGGAATTAGAGTAGACGGTGGCAGTGCCAGCACAACTTCTCACTGTGTTCACTTCGTATCATTTATATAGCTTGACTCATAAGCAATGTTCATGTATTAGGTCCTTGAAAAAAAAAATCAGCAGAACCTGGGGCCCACGAGGTTTCCCCATGGCTGCTTTGAGAAAAGCTCATTTGTTTCCAAAGGAATGTGCATGGTAGGGCCTGCGGGCAAGATGCCAGGCATTCTTCCTTCAGAAAATACTAAAGCCATCTGTAGATAGGTAGGTAGGCACTGGAAAAGAAATCTGTGTGTGTGTGTGTGTGTGTGTGTGTGTGTGTGTGTGTGTGTGTGTGTGTTGGGGGCCTTTCTGTTCCACAGTCCCCTAGCATCTGAAAGCCCACCTCTTGCCTCTCCTCGGGGGGGTCCCAGACATGCTGTCTGCTGGAGCGTGTGGGCCTCAGTCGGTGTGACCAATCACACATCTCCAGGGCAGCAGGGATGGGCTCCAGAAGGGAGAATTCACTGAGTTCGACCTTTCTGACAAAAGAGCTCTGCTTTCTCTGGTCTCCGTTCTATTCCCACCAAGCCCGAATGCCTTGAGAGCTGGCCACTGCCACGGAGCCAAGGGGCGTGAACTTTGGGTAAGCCTTTCTCCCCACACCCCTCCGGGGCCCCCAGAACAACAGAGCCCTCAGTGGCACAGCTCAGCCGGAGAAGTGCTTGGGGCCACAGAAAAGTTTTGGCCTCCTCGTCTAACTAGAGACTGAGAGCCTGCCCGAGGTGCTAGGAGTGGGGAGGGCCTTCGGAGGTACCACTGACCTATGAGATACCACCCAGAGCTGCCTTTGGTGGTGACAAGCGGTAACTAGGTGGCTCTCTCTCTCTCTTGAAATACCTGAATATCCAAGGTAACAGGTAATGTGCCTCTCAGCCACCCTTCCTGCCACCCTGCCCACTATTCACAGCAGAGTTCTTCTCTCTTTCTTTTCTCTCTCTCTCTCTAACTATAACCTTCTCTTTCTCTTTTTCTAACATAGTGCCTTGCACTAGATGCTACCCTTTATCTCTGGCAAAGTCTTGCCAGAGAGCTCCCTAGGTTTTTTAGTGTCTCTGGGTACTCTCAAAGCTGAAGAATATTCTAGAATAATCCTGCATCTCCCCACTGCCAACATCCCTGCTGGCAGTCCTGGGGCCTCACATATGTGTCCACCTAGAAAGACTCCTGAGAGTATCAACCAAAGAGTCCAATGACTTAAACGAAGAGGCTGTTGGACCGAGGTGGCTCTAATGCCGTGTGGCCTACGTGAGCAAACCAAAATCTACGTCTCTAGATGCATCAAGGTTACCAAATTGAAGCCTAAGGACAACCAATCACAAAGAGCCAACGAGGCTTTACACCTTGGCCAATCAATTTTTTCCTGACTTCACTTTGGCAAAGTAGAAAAGTCTCTCCCCGAGCTTCCCGTTGGTGGAACACTCCTAACCACATCTGCTTTGGCACTGTCAACGTGACTACATTTTCACTCAAACTCCTAAAACAAAATTTTGATATATCTCCGCTTATCTTTTAACAATGGTGGAAAAAAAAAAATCCAACCCAAGAGCAAAATGTATTAGGGGCTCCCGCTGTCTGCCACACTATGCTGTTCAATTCCGGAGAACCAGCCAAGTGTGCCTAGAGCTTACTCGTCCCGTTCACATAGCACCGTCCAAATTAATCTAATATTTTTCTCCTTTCCAGGTAGAAGGTGCTCCACAAAAAAACAGAAATGGCATGACAGGAAAGGTGAGGGAAACTCGAATCCCCTCTTTCCTACTTATTAAGAGCTACTGACCTGGCTCTCGATGGCTCAGTGTCAGATTTCTAAATATCATTTGAAATGCCAGTTTCAGATTACTTAAAAGGTCTGGGAACAACAAGCTACTTTGCCTAGAAGCTCCACTGCATACAAGGATATTGAATTTCCTCCTCTCTGTTTATCTAGGATAACGAGGAAGGACTGCCCGCCACTTACTTTACTGTGGAAATGTTTCTCCTCCAGTGATCCCAGCATCTGAAGCCACTAGGGGCTTCATTGTTATAGTTGGGACACTATCTGAAGCATATTGCAACATAAACTAAAAGACTAATATGTGTAGCTTTCATGAAAATGAAAGGAATTACTTTAGAACAGTATATAAACTGAAAGACACCAATGGAGAACACTCAGTGGAAAGAAATATTGTCTCTATATATGGATTCTAGTCAACACTGTTCATTTTAAGAATGTCATCATTTCTTACTGATAATAAAGGCAAATACCAACCCTGATTAAATTGTCACAGACAAAACCCTGAATTTGTTTCTAGTGGAATGAAGAAGGTTATGCTTTCATGAGAACTATTCTTTTGTAACACCCATAGATTAAGTATACACAGAAGCCTTTTCTATGACAATCGCACAGACGAATTTCTTATTTGTTGACCACACTAATGAACTGTCCTTCTAACCTTGTCCCAAAGACATAGATGTAAAGGAAAATGATGGCAGGTCCAAAGGCACAGAATTAAAAGCACAAGGCCCCTGCAGGGATGTCTCAGTTAAAAAAAAAGGCAAAGAAAGAAAGAAACTGACACAGAGAAGGAAAAGCGAAAAGTGTGACAACTTTGAATATGACATTACTTTGTTCTAAATGGATGGCAAGACGCCCAGTGAGATGCATGAACTAATTATAAATAATGAAGAGTCTCCTTACAACTACTGTCATCTAAAATTAACATTTAAAAACACTGAACGACCAAATTGTGAATGTACAAAGAGTTTAGACTAGAGTTGCTTCAAACAGGCAAGGCAAAGTGCCTCTGTGCATGTTTGTTTATCTGCCTCTACTGATTACCACCGCAGCACAGGGAACCAGGCTTGATTCACACATTCACACCCAGAAGGGCAGCACTTGCCTTGTGCATCAGCAACCAAGTCATAGCTGACTATGAAGGTTTTGAAAACAAAACAAAACAAAACAAAACAAAACAAAAAAACCACCTCTGCTAGGAGTAAAAGTAAAACAAAAGATCTAGCATAAAAGCCTGAAGCATAGACACATATTTAGAGAAAAGATTTAAGCATATACATATACGGGGAAATTAAAATTTAGCTTTCAAAATGTGTCTTTAGAATCAAGGTTTTAAAGAGCAGACTTCTTGCAGAAAGCGAGCTCTAATCCCGACACTTTCTCCCACATTCGCTTTCTCTGTGCCCTGACATCTGGTCACCTGAAGGAAGGCAGGGAGAGAGTAAACAGACCTTCTCTAGGAGAGAAGTTTAGGAACTGATCCACTTCGTGAGGCTCCAGCTTAATCTTAGGAATAATTGTCTGGCACGAGGAATCAACCTGGAGGAAGAATTTCAAACACAGTTTTTAAAACCCAGTAACAAACCTTTAGGGACACCAGGGGAGTTATTTGTCATCAAACTATGTGTCTTCCTGTCCTGGCAGCTCCACTTCTCTCTGCTGGCAGAGGCAGGCTCCTTCTTTGATGGGGAGGTGGCTTTGTTCTTGACCTTTCTCTCCCTGCCAAACCCAGCACTATAGCTGATAGAACACTCAGGATGCCAAAGCCAAAAAACCAAGACTCATATTTCTGTTGTTTTCATGGTCATATAAGGCCTTTTATCATGAAATAGTCTAGTAAATTTGTAAAGGGACATGGGCCTCCCACTAGTTTGTCCTATAGCAGGAACTAAACAAACCCTCCAGGCTTCCTCGGGACCCACAGCATCTAATAATGAAACTTTCAGTGCAGGAAAGACAAAAGCTCTCTGGCCTATGAGTGGAGCAAGGCTGTGACTGATTTTTCTTGGTTACATACTAAAAAAATCAACTGACCTAACATCTCATGGAACAAGGAGACTAATATACATTCCAGGAGCCCAGTGCCATGAAAAGATCTAGGCAGAGAATGAGAAACGAATTCTAGAGGGCAGCTGCCGAGGTGCTCTGTCCAGAGTCCCCCATCTTTTCCAAGATGGATTGTAAAGAGCACTAAGCACAAGTACACACCAAAGCTTTGGCGACTCCGCTGCTTCTGGGTGACCTCTTCCTGAACAGGTATGGGTAGATATGACACTTTGCTCAGAGGAGACCTGACTTAGCATCAACACAGTCAGTGTTTATATATAATCTCTGGACATTGGAAATGCCGGGAGAGAAGGTGAAATAGGCATGTAGGCATGGAATCAAACAAGGAAGAAATGTCCAATTTTGTATGTTTTTCCATGCATAATACAATAAACGTTGGTTGGTGAGAGATCCCTGAATTGGGTCAGGGCACCTCAACATTGTACTAGGAAAGTAAAACGTCACACGGGAAACAACAATTCCATCAGCCCCAGCATGCAAGCCAAGGATCGCATCATCAGTTACTTCCTCTCTTTCCACTGGTCTAAAAGGCAATCCCATGGAGAGTTTGGCATTTTTTAACTGTGGATATCCATCTATTTTTCATAATTTTGTAACAGCAATCATTGGAAAAATAAAATAATCAAAAAATAAAAAATAAAAAAAAATAAAATCAGACTTGCTACCAATTTTCTGAACATAAACTTCCTATAAAGGAAGTAGTATAATCAATGCTGATCCCAGATCAACATATCCTTACTATACACCTACATACATAGGCAATTATATGTCCTGAAACACATATAGGCACTAGCTCCTTAATAGGTTAAATGCCGTATTTGAGAATGAGAATCCATGTCTTTTGAGCCAATGTGTGTGTATAGAAGAAAAGAGAGCGTACCCCAGGATTCATTTCCAGAGGGGGTTCCTCCTTTTCACAAGGGGTGGAGATGGCTGTGATGGTCAGAGTGACAGAGGGAACAAGTCCTGGGGGCGGCTCCTCTGTAATCGGCTCTGTCTTGATGGTTGTTGATGGAAAGTCTGTAGACAGGTACCATTTCTCACTTTCCACTTCATCTATGGGAAAAAGACAAGCAGACGTATGAATCTGTTCACAGTATCGGACAGAAGTAAAACAAATGACCACTGATCTTGCTCCTCAAAAAATAGCTCCAACAATAAGCTACTGAGAGTAGAATAAGAGGAAATAAAGTAAGCATGTGAGAGAGGAGATAAATGGATAAAGAAATGAATGGTGAAGTAAGAATCTATACTTGTGTTCGCTTGAGTGTAAGTAAGTATGCCTACGGAAACCTCGAGAATACACATAAAAGAAAGAAACCTGCCTTTCCTGGTCAGAGTAGGAAGGAGACTAGGTGGATGGGAACAGGACAGGAAGGAGAATCTCAACGTGTGATGTTTTACACTTTTCGGTTTTCAAACCAAGTGACTGGGTTATCTATTTAAAAATAAATAAGTACATTTTTAAAAAAGATTTCTTTATTTACTTGAGAGAGTGAGAGAGTGGGGGGAGGGGAGAGGCAGAGGGAGAAGGAAAGAGAATCTCAAGCAGACTCCCCGCTAAGCATGGAGCCCTACACAGGCCTGGATCTTACAAGCCTGAGATCATGATCCGAGCCAAAATCAAGAGTCAGATGCTTAATCAACTGAGCCACCCAGGTGCCCCAATAAGTACATTTAAAATTAAGAAACAGGGGCGCCTGGGTGGCTCAGTGGTTGAGCATCTGCCTTTGGCTCAGGACGTAATCCCAGGGTCTTGGGATTGAGTCCTGCATCTGGCTCCCTGTGGGGAGCCTGCTTCACCCTCTATGTCTCTGCCTTTCTCTGTGTCTCTCATGAACAAATACCTAAAATCTTTATTTATAAATAAATCTAAAAATAAATATATAAACTAATTAATTAATTAAAAAATTAAGAAACAAATGGTGTGTAACCAGAGTCTCAGGAGAGAGGACGGGGGACCATGGTTAGGTGGGCGCTACTCTTCTGTCAGTGGACAGTTATTTGTTCTCTTTCTTTTTTCATCTCAGTCCCTGTTTTTGTACTCTGGCTTCCCTACAACCCCACTTATGCCTTAAGCCTGACCTAGACTTCCAGAACTTGACCGAGCCCTCTGCAAAACTTCAGTTTGTAACAAACATCAGCCTTTGCTGAAATGGACCAAAGGTCTAGAGAAAACGGCTGGATCTTGGCAAGTGTGGATCTTGGCTCACTACTGGTTTTCATGATTATTACTGGGGGTTGTGACAAAGGAATAACAGACAGACGAACCTCTACATTCTTCTAGAAGCTTACGTCCACCTGTTTCTTGCCAAACTACTTCAGAGCTACTAGCAGAACACAGACCTGAAAAGGAGGGAGATGGGGAGGATAGGAAAAGACCAGGAGATTGCAAACAGGTGCAGAACAAGAAAACAGAGATTCCCAAAGTCAGCATTCCTTACCTGAAGCCATGTTTACTGGTGAGACTAAAATAAAGCAAAGATATGTTCCTTGCTTTATGAAAATGTTTAAACACACGTGCACACCCCGCATGCTTAGGGAACCCTGTGTACAGAAGAGCAAAGTTGTTCCCATTAGGAAATGATTTTACCCTCAAGAATTGGACTCAAGCTTTCTTAAGAAAAGGTACATGAAGATCGTTTAGAACTGTTAGAGGCGGGGAAAGAGCAGGCACAGAAGCTAAAAACTAAATTTCACAATAATTAAAGTTGTGTTTCCTAAACAACTTCCTCAAAACCCAAGAAAACGTTAGATTCGCATTTACAAAGGAAAATGATTCCCCCTTTCCCAAATCCAGTTTATAATTGACTTGATTAATTATCCCAGCCCTGAGTTCTTTCCTAAGGCAAAGTAAAGATGGGCAAGACTTCTGTGGGTTGAAGATGTTTTGCTTTTGGAACTGGTTCTATAAAGCTGCTGAGTGCAATGGTGTGATGGGAGAATTTCCATCATTCATGGGGTGCACACCACATCCTGGCCGAGGGGGAAGGGTAGGAAACAAAGGGCCTTTTGATGGCGGCCAGGGGAGAGAGACCACACTGTACTTGACACCGAATTCTGCTGGCCAGATGGGCGCCTGGCTCAACTTAGGGAAGCAAATGGTTGAAGAGCCAATAGACGAGTCTAATACCTCTCTCAAAATAAGCTTAAGAACTAGAAAATTCTATCACCAGCAAGGAAGACACACTCAGGACAGATCTGAGGAGGAGCTGGAGAGATAGAGTACACAGATCACATTTTCTCTGTTCAGCAATGACATATGGATGCCTTTGCTTTGTGAAGGCAACACCTGCAGCCTGTCCACACTGCAGGGTATTTATCCCTGCCAGAGGCTGGAAGTGAGATAGTAAGATGCAATACTGCCTCAGTGTATTTAAAAATCAACAGTAAGGAGGCATTGCTGAGAAAAGGTCCCACCAGGAAGTCGTGAGATAAGGCCAGATCCCCTGGCCATGCACTTATGACTACTTTAATGAAGCTTAATTCTTGGGGGGAGGGGGAGCGGGGGGGTGCGCAAAAATAAAAACACAAAGCAATACAAAACTATAAGACAAAATGAAGACAGGTAATGCAATCAGTTCTTCCAGTGTAGCTAAGCCAACCTCAAATATAGGTCAAGATAGTTGATATTTTTTTTCTTAAAGATTTCATTTATTTATTCATGACACAGAGAGAGAGAGGCAGAGACATAGGCAGAGAGAGAAGCAGGCTCCAAGCAGGAAGCACGATGTGGGATTCGATCCCTGGACCCCAGGATTACGCCCTGAGCCGAAGTCAGACACTCAACCACTGAGATACCCAGGTGTCCTGATAGTTGATATTCTAAATGCTCAGTGTCCTATAAGCCTATTTTAACATCATATATATATGTATATATATATGATTATGTATACATACATATAAAATTATGTGTATATATACATACACATTTATATTTATACTAGATATAATTTATATGATCATATATATACTATATATGTGTGTGTATATATATAATCATTACTGTGTCAGGAATGGAGACTGAAGGACAAACAATGATACTTGAATTCTGAAGCAAAACCTCCTCTCTCAAAGACGACTGAACTCTTCCAAGTGAGAAGCCCAAGGAAGTTGCCTGTCTTCCCATGAACTTTGTTGAGGACAAAATACCAGCATTGCCTTTATGCTTCCACTTCAATAAAGTGACTTATTACTCCAACTTAAAGATGATTTTGTTTAAAGATTTTATTTATTTACTCATGAGATACACAGAGAGAGGGAGAGAGAGGCAGAGACACAGGCAGAGGGAGAAGGAGGCTCCATGCTGGGAGCCTGATGTGGGACTCGATCCTGGGTCTCCAGGATCACGCCCTGGGCTGAAGGCAGATGCTAAACCGCTGAGCCACCCAAGGATCCCTATGATTTTGTGTGTGGGTGTCTGTGTGTGTTTAGAACACAAAGTTTGCTTTAAATATTTTTTTAAGTGAAGGGATACCAACCATACTCCTACTCAATTAAGAGAAACACTTTTACAATCCTGAGGTCTTTTATTCTCTTTACAGTTACCATGCCATGAATTCATAGGGAATGGGTTTCAGCAGTTCAGGCTCCTTTCCACTGGTTCTCACAAAGTGTGCTTCTCTGGTGGGGACCCAAGTACCTTGCTTCAGTTGGACCCAAGTACCTTTCTCTTTGGCTTCCTTCTTTTTCTGATCATTTTCTTTCACACACTTCAGGAAGCTATCTCAGCTCTTTGAGTGTTTAATATGCTCAATGTGGACATTAATTCTCTTGGCAAGAATCTTGCCCTTAACTTGTTTGTTTACAACAATGCCAACAGCATGGTGAATAACATTTAGACTCTTCCAGTTTTGCCATGGTAACATTTGTGGGGCATTCCTTTTTGAATAGTGCCCATTCCCTTGATGTCCACAATATCACCTTTCTTATAGACTCGCATGTATGTGGCCAAAGGAACACCTCCATGTTTTCTAAAAGGCCTAGAGAACATATAGCAGGTACCTCTCCTCTTTCCCTTTGTGTTGGTCCTTTTGGCAAATTACTGAAAGATGGTGGTTCCGGCCGAAAGGTCCCCATGGTTTTTGAATTGGAAAGAGGTTTAAGGTCATCAAGCTCAAATACATCAATTTTATTATGAGGAAATTGACATGCAGGTCCAGATCACACAGTGAACAAGCGGCAGATCCATATCTCTGCACTCCTGACCAGTAGTCTTTCCATTAAAAAAACAACTAAAAATGTAAATAAATATTTGTGCACAGATATGCTTACCGTACCATTATTTATAATCACAAAACACTGAAAATAACCAAAACGGTAAAGAACAAAGGCCAGTTGAATGAACTATGATGCATCTACACATGGAACATTTATGTATACAGTAATAGTATATATGCAAAGTCTTTTTAATAACACGTCAAAGAAAGATTTATTGTAGAATATTTTTAAAATCTGGATATAAATTTATATACTATTAATGAAGAAAGTGACAGAAAAAAAAGACGGAAAGTATGTCAAAATAGTAAAAATGGGATCCCTGGGTGGCTCAGTGGTTTAGCGCTTGCCTTTGGGCCTGGGCATAGTCCTGGAATCCCGGGATCGAGTCCCGCATCAGGCTCCTGGCATGGAGCCTGCTTCTCCCTCTGCCTGTGTCTCTGCCTCTCTCTCTCCCCGCACCCCCCCCATCATGAATATATAAATAAAATTTTTTTTAAAAAAATAGTAAAAATAACTCTGGAGAAGAATTCAGAATATGAATGACTTTTTTTTTTCTTTAGATTTTATACTATTTTAAAATTTCCTGTACTGGGAATACACTGTCCCTGGATAATCACACATGGTCATGGCCTGCTTCTACCTGCTGTATTTTACAATGCCTTATGATGGTAATTATTATTATTTTTTTTAAATATGGAACGCTTCACGAATTTGCGTGTCATCCTTGCGCAGGGGCCATGCTAATCTTCTCTGTATCGTTCCAATTTTAGTATATGTGCTGCCGAAGCGAGCACTATGATGGTAATTATTAAACAGAAGCCCCGGTTGCTCAAGGG